GCTTTTTCTCCAAACTTTGTAGATCATAAATGTGTACAACCAAGAGTATGAAAGTGCAGCAGCATTCTGGCCCGATGTCCATGGGCGGATCATTGTCGCCTTAGTTGTTTCGCAGCTACTATTGATGGGACTACTCAGTACAAAAGAAGCTGCTCAATCAACTCCCTTGCTCATCACATTGCCAATATTGACTATATGGTTTCACTTGTTCTGTAAAGACCGTTACGAACCCGCTTTTGTTCGATATCCCTTACAGGTTAACACAGACCTTATCTCACTGTTTTTAGTTGTTTCAGATTGCTTGCTCATTAGATAATAGTATAGGGACTTCTATCATCACCTCACCCTATTGAATGAACTTTCAGGAAGCAATGATGAAAGATACATTGGAGCGAGCAAGGGAGCCAAACTTGAACTTGAAAGGATTCCTTCAAAATGCATACGTTCATCCGGTTTTCAAGCACGACGAAGACGACATAGAAATCGAAACGGATTCTGAAGATGAGCGACATGGGCCAGTGCTGGTGCCAACAAAACGCCATTCTCGTAGGAATACGCCATTGCCAAGCAAGCACAGCGGTCCCTTATCGTCCTCACATTCAGAAATTGATGGAGGAGTTTCATAACATACAGAAGTGGTGAGCTTGCTATTGTTTTTTTATGGTGTGTGTATATTTCACTTGATGAGAAAGGGGGGAGGACACTGTAAATGATGAGTTAGGATAGACGCTTAGAAAAGTTCTAAAAACTGACAAATAGTGCAGTTTTTGTGTTCTGTTTTTGTTCTTATATAGTGAATTTGGAATAATAAAATGACAGAGTAGACAGTGAATGTATGCGAGGGTAACTTAATCGGAGAGATCTTACATCGGTTGGATAGATGAACGAATAAAGATGTGGAAATCTCTCTCTAGTATCTAGTAGACGCGTTTTAAAACTATGAGCCTGATGACGATATGTAATGGGTCAAAGCAATCAACAACATCTACTAGTAGTGGGCTTGAATTGTTACAAATGGTATGAGAGCCAAACACCAAGCGGTGTGCCAGTGAAGACGCTGGCTGGCCCTTAAGGGAGGTGGATTATGAGATCTCACATCGGTTGGAGAGAGGAACAAAACATTCTTTATAAGGGTATGGAAACCTCTCCACAACAGACGCATCTTAAAATCATGAAACTGATGGCGATACGTAATGGGCAAAAACGAACAATATCTGGTAGTGGTATAAGGGTGTGGAAACCTCTCCCTAGCATACGTGTTTTAAAATCGTGAGACTAACAACGATACGTGACGAACCAAAACAAACAATAACAGCTAGCAGTGGATTTTGACTACTTTGACTATTACAACATGAAAAACTCAAATTTGTGCCCTGCAATTGAAAATCATTGCTTAGTTAGCTTGTAATTCATTTTTATTACCTTCATTAATATAATATAATCCATATGATCCGAGATGAAAATTGTTATATCACAAATCTAATCTCTAATAGCAACTATTATAAGCTATAACTTCATACTTTATTATAACATCTATTAGAGTGGTAAAAAATGCTATAAAATGTCTTACACTTTTAATATTAAAAGTACTGTCACGACATATGACAAATACTGTAAAAAGTTTATGATAGTGTTTTTCGTAAGCTACCGTATCTATTATTTACGGTAGTGCATATTTAACATTTTTTAAAATTAATAAATTTATTATATAAAATTGAATTTTGTAGGTAATAAAAGGTTTGAAAAATTAGCACATTTATGTTTTTTTCATGTGCGTGACAATAATTTTTTGCCCAACTAGGAAATGTACATTGAACAAAATAATACAAAATAGTAGTTTGGGAAGATCCTCTCATCCAGAGCAGCTGCCGATGAATCCATTTATTTATACAAATTAGTCCAAAATCTGACGGAAAAATATTACAAATCTCCGAATCCAACCTTCTTCCCCAATCGGAATCGTATCCTCCCTCCGTCGTTGAAGCTTCCGGCGAGCGACCAGAGAGGTAAGTGTTGAGCATTTGTGCTAATGGACGAGGTGATGACGGTTGGGGATGCGTTCTCGTCGTCCGTTAAACCGTCGTTGTTTCCATTGGCACCGGATCCTTTGCTCACTTCCAATCTCCCTCTTATCTCCGCCTTCCTCGCTGGCGCCATCGCCCAGTTTCTCAAGATCTTTACCACCTGGTACACTTTCTCTGCTTTGCTGATTTTTCGTATTGCCAGTTTTGTGTACATTTCTCCACGATCTGAGGGAGCCAGAGCTTAATCTGTTGTGTTCTGGTTTTTGGACTCTTAGGTATAAGGAAAGAAAATGGGAATCGAAACGGATGTTTGGTTCTGGCGGAATGCCTTCATCTCACTCTGCAACTGTGACTGCTTTGGCCCTTGCTATTGCCCTGCAGGAAGGATCTGGAGGACCTGCTTTTGCCGTCGCCGTAGTCTTTGCATGTGTTGTATGTGCTTGATTCCTTCTTTCTTCTTGTTTACATGCTTGTGTTCTTTCGTTTACTTTCTTCTTCTGATGCCCGGATTACTGAAGAATTTAGAAAATTTTGGCTTTCTGTTCCATTGGCTGTACATTTTTTCAAGTAGTTAATGCTTGTTTTGATTTACAGTTTAGGATGAATTATAATTTGTAAGTATAGTTCTTGAATATTTAGTTTCTTTTACCTTGAATAGTTTCTAACAAGTTCTTACAACTTCCATGGTTCTATCGATTCAGGTCATCTACTTTATCATTTTTCTAGCAAGTCTTAAAATGGTTAATTTGTATCTAATTAGTTTCATTGTTTGCTTCATTAGTAGAAAGATTTGCGAGGCATAAAGGTGATATATATTAGGATCACGATTTATGTCAAAAATCATGTCGTCCTATCAATTTTAAATTACACACGGTTAATAGGTTTTTGTTAGTGTTAAATGAATTAATATCACTTATTTATCACAAAATTGAATGTTCTAAACTTGTTTAAAAAGTTTGAAAATTGTACGGTTTTATGAAACCGTGTGCTATGGCTTGAATCCGTAGTCAATCCTATTTACGAATGTATACTAGATCAAGATTATGCTAGACTAAATTTTTATTTGATGGCCTGATCTGTTTTATTTGATTTCACAGGTATTCGCTATATGTACTTCATGATCAAATTTGTTTAGTTAAATCTTGTTTTTGTGATCAATTTTGTTTAGTTAAATCTTGTTGTTTTGATCACATGTCTGTTGCTTTTGTATTCTGAAATGGTAACTTGGCTGCTTTTGTATTGACTCTGCCTTCTTCCCGTCGTCTACCTTGTATTTTCATTACATTTCCGTCGTGTTCCAATCCTGTAATTATAACTCGGCTGTTCTTGTAAAGACTTTGCCTCCTTGGCGTTGTCTTTTCCTGTCTCTTTGTTTCTGCTTCTTCTGCAAACCAGATGAGTATTAACAATATCATTCTATCAGTTCCAAATCAGCTAAAAATGTCGGTGAATATGATGACAATTGCAATTCCAGTGATAGTACTGGACTTTACTCCGTATCCTTTCACACAGTGCCCGACAGTTGGTTGAAACTGCTTTTGAATGTTTTTGTTTCTAATTAAAATTGGATTTTCGTTGTTATTATTTTTCTATATGATCGATTGGACTTTAAGCTTCGGGTTTTTTGAACGCTTTTTTAATGTTTTAATGTAATTGGCCTTCATGTATTTTCAATTTCTTGAAGGTAATGTACGATGCTTCTGGAGTCAGACTTCATGCTGGTCTTCAAGCCGAGGTAAGTTCTTTAGAAAGTGTATAGGTTCCATTTTTTTTATCTTTCATTTATCATTACCACTTCCATCTATGTCACCTTGAGTCTGACGATTATGTCCATTGTACAAAACTGTTCATCTTTTTCCATTAAGTCTTATCATTTGATGATCACAGTTGCTGAACCAAATAGTTTGCGAGTTTCCTCCTGAACATCCTCTGTCCAGTATTAGACCATTGCGAGATTCACTTGGACACACTCCACTTCAGGTCAGTGCATTTGCTTCATATATGTATGTTGGGATATGGAACCATATGATATTAAAAGCTTAGCCTTGCAAATTTGTATCCTTCAAATATTCTGGAATAAACAAAGAAAAAAAAAAAAAAAAA